TTGCAACTTTTGTAATGCCAATGAATACTCGTTACCACTTTTGTAATGCCAATGAATATTCGTTGTCACTTTTGTAATGCCAATGAAAACTCGTTGCCACTTTTTTAATGTCAGTGAATACTCGTTGCCACTTTTGTAATGCCAATGAATACTCTTTGCCACTTTTTTAATGTCAGTGAATACTCGTTGCCACTTTTGTAATGCCAATGAATACTCGTTGCAACTTTTGTAATGCCAATGAATACTCGTTGTCACTTTTGTAATGCCAATGAATACTCGTTGCCACTTTTTTTTATGTCAGTGAATACTCGTTGCCACTTTTGTAATGTTTTCTGTAGTAGAGACTAAGTAATTGCAGATACAATTATAGTAACGCTGTTGAACAATAATGGTGTCAGACGTCTTCGAATAACACTCGCACTAATAGTACCTGCTCGATAATCCTCGCTCGAATAGTAATCCGTATCGTGTAATAGTATAGAGCAGAAAATAACGATCCCAATAGTAATTGGGGATAGAATAGAAACACGATCCTTAGTTCTCAGTTATTTTCTACATATGTGTTTTCTTTATTAGTCACGGGGTCTACTTAATTCAATAATGGGATCACCTGTGTTTGTTCATTGACGATCTATGTTCAAACTCAAATGTCGGCAGCGACACTTTGTTCCTATATAACACATACCTTTGGTATTTTCTGGCGTGAATCACATACTATAATATTATTTTCCGATATATGACAAGATATCAAACAAAGAAATGACGATGTAGCCCATTGGGACAAAAAGGGACTTGGAACATGTAAGGATAGGTATCATTATTAGTTAATAAATAACATAAAATAAAAATGATAGGACACACCATATGTATACGTAAGAGACTGGATAATCTAAAATCGGTTATAAGAATAAGGTTAACTTTAAACAAAAAAAGAAAATGAAAGATATTCTGAAGTTAGTACGAAGACACGACATTGATATAAACTCTAGAAATTGGTAAGGAAAAGCCGTGCAATAACTTCGGCAAATAAAGATCAACTAAGAAAAATGGGATTTACTGTCTAATGTTGTTTGCGTAGTCTCTGCCGAAGGCTAGTATATCATACTATATATGGTATAAATGTAGCTATAGACCTACAGATATTTAAAACTTTTCGATTGTTTCACACTTCGTGATATAATCGATGTTTTTTTTTACATCAATAAATGATTCTAAAACAGCTGATTAGTGCTGTTATCAGAATAGACATTCTGCCACAAGCTTAGAATTGCTAATTATATACGGTTCTATTATTTTACATTTGTTTCTTTACTCATAAAGGTATGACCGGTTTGTATGCATCAGATTATATCATAGATTCAGATTATATAATAGAAGTTTCTAAAGTTCTTACTTTTTTTCCAGGTGGGGGGGTCGTCATGAAACAATCGTGTGCTTTGTAATTATTAAATGGTTGTTGTGATCTAAGTATCTGAGCTTCATTTTCTTAAGAAAATGCTTTATAATGATCAAATGGTTGCTATTTTCTTAAGAATATATTTTGTAGTGATGTTGTAATCGATAATCGAAGCATCGGTGCTAGGCGCCGCCTTATGAAAATGCATTATACTGATCAGATGGTTGATGTAATGTAAATGTGAGGCGCTGGACGCTTGGATTTTATATTGATCAGATGGCTATTGGCATTGAAGCATTTGGTGTTGGGTGGCATCTTAAGAAAACCGTTTATAGTGATCAGATGGTTGCTGTAATGGAAGGATGTGGTGATCTTGAGAAAACATCCGAGAGTGATCAGATGGTTGTTGCAATGAAAGCATATTGTTCTGGACACCATTTTCTTCATAAAATATTTCATAGTGATCAGATGGCTGTTATAATTGAAACAGTTGGCGCTAGACGGCATCTTAAGAAAATATTTACAGGGATCTGGTACCGGATACAATGTTATTGACAAAATGTTTTCCAGTGATCAAATGGCTGTTGTTAGCGAAGCATCTTGTGCTAGATACCATTTCCTTAAGAAAACGTTTTTAGTGATCAGATGGTTGTTGTAATCAAAATATATAGTGCAGAGTGCGATATTCTTAAGAAAATAATTTATTGTGATCAGATGCTTGTTGTAATGAAAACATGTTGTGCTGGACACCAATTTCTTCATAAAATATTCTATAGTGATCAGATGGCTGTTCTAATTGAAACTTCTGCTGCTGGACGCCATCTTAAGAAAAAGGATTTATAGGGATCAGGTGGTTGTTGTAAAGGAAAGATGTGGTCGACAGACGCCATTTACTTGAGAAAACGTCTGAGAGTGATCAAATGATTGTTGCAATGAAAGCATATTGTGCTGGACACCATTTTCTTCATAAAATATTTTATAGTGATCAGATGGCTGTTGTAATTGAAACATCTGCTGCTGGGTGTCATCTTAAGAAAATGATTTATAGCGATTAGATAGTTGTTGTAAGTATGAGGTGCTCGACGCCATTTTCTTAAGAATACGTTTTATATTGATCAAATGGCTGTTGTTAGCGAAGCGTCTGGTGTTAGACGCCATCTTTTTAAGAAAAAGCTTTACATTGATCAGACGGTTGCTGTAATCGAAACATCTGGTGCTGGGCAACAGTTTTTAAGAAAATTATGTTTCAAGTTGATGTTTTATTGTGATTTGATGGTTGCTGTACTTGAAGAATTTGGTGCAAGGCGCAATTTTTAAGAAGATAATTTATTGTAACTTGATGGCTGTTGTAATCAACGCATCTTGTGCCGAGTGCCATTTTAAAAAATGGCTACATTTATTTACAAAAACAAAAACAATGGTGTTTTAAGTAAAGGTTGAGTATAAAAGTTTCTGAAATTAGATATGTTTTTAATTTCCAATAGGCACTCTTTATAGCCCGAAAACTCCTTGCAAATGGCAAACAGTTTAACTGAAGGCGCTCAGGGTAAACAAACATTTGAACAATTTTTACATTCGTAAAATCCAAAAAAAAAGACAATTCTCTGCATACAAGGAGAAGCATGATAAAAAAAGTTCCTTGTGAGTTTTCTTAAACGAAACATATTAAATAGGTATTAGAGTTTGGCACGTTAGTACAGACGTAAAAGAGGTTGCAGATCGCATACGGACATGTCTGTCCGGGTTTACACGGTAAGCAGTGGGACAGACGGTCCTCTCTGAAACTTGTCTAGACTCGGGTTTCTGCCAGCGTCTACTGTCAATAAAAACGACAGGAAAACCAGGTAAACAGTGGGCAAGTCTTGGAATTCGGTAACCGGTGGGCATTTTGTTCATAAAGTTGCTGTGCTTTCTGAGGCAATATCATTTTGTTACCTCTCGTCTCATTTCCTTTCTCTGCATATTTACTCCCCCCACCGCCGTAGCGACTGGGAAATCTATCATTAAGGTATTTACCCCAACATCAATATGGCCCAGCCATAGTTTACAACACCAATCCAAATACACAATTATATATTTGCCCGTATTATAGAATCTATATGTACGAAAACAAATTAGTTATTTGCGAAACTCGTGGATTACAATCTTTTGTAGTAGAATGTAAATATCCGAATTACGAAACCAGCGAATAGCCTGAAAGAATACATCAATTTGTTACGCTTCCAGTATGGATATTTACTTGAGGCCCCACTGAGTCAGGATGTGACACAAGGTCAGTTTTTAACGTGGGGATCCCGAGTGTTTTCACTCGGGCCACTGGTGTAAGCTGGTCTTAGCTGGTCATAGCATGTCCAAGCTGGTCAGAGCTGGTTTAAGCTAGTAATAGCCGTGATACTACCATCAAAGGGCCGGAGCCCGGTGCCAGTGTATTAGACATATGTTGAATGAAAATATTTATATAAATTGTTCAAATCGTGTGACAGCAAAATTGTCTAATTGTTAGATTAAGATTTGGAACCTTGTATTTTAGAAATGATTAAAGATATCTTACAGGAATTCTCCGAGATTTTTATAGCACTACTGGAATCTACTTTGAGCAATAAAGATGTATAATTACCCTCAAAGCTTAACAGAAAAATCTTGATGAAATCGATCATCAACGAAAATTACATGTTTGTCATTAATTAATCATAGCTAAGGATCGGAAGCTCACGAAGGATTTAAATAAAGTTCTAATATATATATATTATTTCAAGATCATTTCCCAACTTATTCAAGATGATCTTCGCCCTCTCTAACCTTCTAACTTTCTGTCCTGGTGTAACAAAGTGCCTCACAGGTTTTACGTACGATTTCATTTTCAAGTCGTTTGTCACTGCTCTGTAGAATGTCATTGCTAAAACACTCCTATCACGTGCCAAACGTCTAAGTTGGAATTATGATCCCTCTTCCTGTTGTGACCTCCTCATCCAGTTTTCCTTTCTAATGTTCCTTCTTTTTTAAACTTAATCAACCTTTTTCTTGATCGTTCTTGAAGGGACTTTGAAAATGGAAGCTAGAGTATAAATGTTGGTACCATTACTAAACTCCTGAATGATCTTTTTCCTCTCACCATTGCTCATTTGGGAAGATATAGTGGGGCTAACACAAAATGATTTTTAACTGCTCTCTTTCTAGCTGAATAACTCAAAGGGGTTTTCAGTGATTCTTACGACAAATCGTATCAAGATGGCTAAACGTCCTATCTGAAAGCCCGGAAAAAAGAAAGTCAGTTAATTTAGTGTATTTTTTAGATAGTAAACATTTTGTGGGATGGACATTTATGCAGTAACACAATTTGGACAATTTTACTGTTACACCGGTGTATATATATATATATATATATATATATATATATATATATATATATATATATATGTGTGTGTGTGTGTGTGTGTGTGTGTATGTATGTATGTATGTATGTATGGCGTATATTTTAACAAATCGATGTTCTGACCGGAATTGTTCGGGTGAAAGATGGTGGAAAGGGTAGAGTCGGGTTAGAAGCGTATATCGATTGATCGATCAGTTTTTGAAATTTTCTTTGAAAAGTAAACACGGAATATTATAAAAACATCTGTGAATTCGCAACATGTGGTGAGACATCAAGATAAGAAGGAAAAGAATGTTGCAAAAGAAGAAAAAAAATAAAGATGTGGATGAACTGGGGGGAGAAGACAGAGAAAATGGGTAAAAAGTGTCTATAAGGGTGTAGGAGAAATGTGTGATATAGAAGAAAAAAGCCATGTAATGTGGGTGGTGGGTGAGTCCAGATGCGATAAAGAAATATAGAAATTGAAAGAATTGTTGGAGTTGACAAAAACTAGCAAACAAACAAAAAAACTGTTTTAGCTGTGAAGGAAGAGTAAAAAATGTCTGAGGCAAAAATATTTATGAAAACGAAGATGACATTAATAAATAATTTGAAGTGAAGGAAGAAACAAATAGTCGTGAAGGACAGAAATGAGCAATTGTAAAAAGGGAAAATAGAATTTTATGAAATGTATACAAGAACTTCATTAGATGAAGAAACTATAGAACGCGCAAGAAGGCCAAACAATACAAAGGGGGAAAAGCCCAAGCAATACAAAAGGGTTAAAGACCAAACAATACAAAAAAAAAGAAGCAATGGAAAGGGAAGTCCAAGGTGTAAAAGACCAAACACTTTAAAGAGGTTAAAACCAAACGATACAAAGGGGTAAAATTTCAAGTAGCATAACGAGTAAAAGTCCCAGCAATAGCAAGGGGAAAAGTCTAAGCAATAAAAAGAGTTAAAGACAAAAGGATTAAAGACCAAACAATACCAAGTAGTAAAAGTCCAGGCAACACAAAGAGTAAAAGACGAAGAAATGGCAAAGGGCAATAGACCAATCAAAAGAATATGCTAAAATACCAAACAATGCAAAGTAGTTTAAAACCAAGCACTCCAAATGGCTAAAAGCCAAGCAACACAACAAGTCAAGGACTAAGCAATGGCAAGGGGGAAAGTCCAAGCAATGGAGAGAAGTTAAAGACGAAACAATGCAAAGGGGTAACATCCAAGCAATACAAGGAATAAAATACCTTGCAATGGCAAGGGGTAAAAGAGGAAGCAATGAAAAGGAGTGAAAATTCAAGCGATGCAATAGTGTAAAAAACAAGCAACACAGTGTGGCAAGTATCGAAGCAACGCAAAGAGTAAATGACCAAGAATTGCAATAGGGGTAAAAGACATAGAATTGTATTGGGGTTAGGGGGCAAAGCAGAAGAACTGTATGAGTAAAAATTGAGGCCACGTTAAAAGGAAGGAAAAAAAAACAATTTTGGAGAGCAATGTTTGACAATGTAGAGTGTGGTAGAAGAAAAAGATGAAAACTGATTCGTATCAGAGGTCAGCTTTCTATAGATGGTAAAATCTAACTTGGTGTAGACATGCATTATATATCCACACGCACACACACACACACACATCACTGCACATGCGTACGTAGATAAATTTATAATGGGAAGTTGATGCAGGTTAAAGAGAGGTATATCGATTAAAATAAGAGAGAGAGAGAGAGAGAGAGAGAGAGAGAGAGTGATGAATACTTTAAAACAAGTATATAATGAGAGAAACTCAGACAATGTAATAAAACCGTTGAAGTAAGTGGGAAGGAAGCCATTATCTGAATGTATAATATTAACGGAAGTCTGGGCAGGTGTATGCACGAAAGAATATATATACAGGGGGTCCGAAAGTCTTGTCTTCCCTACATAATACAATTTTCTATTTCAGATAGCTGACACGAGGTCCTACAGTTTAGAAAATAGGGTTAGAGTGACATAAATTTTCGGATCACCATGTATACCGAGGAGGAGATTATTCTTTGAAGTCAAGCAGGTAATACGAGGGCTTGAAAACTGAAAAAAAATTCAAGACACATATATAGGTAATTTTGCCGTATAATGAGCACATATTTTATAAGTACATAAATTTGTTAGATGCGAACGCGGAGGCGAGTTAGTATCACGAGGATACTAGTTGCTTTTGTCTCAATCTCGAAATCATGTCCTTAATTTGGTCATTTAACAGTTTTTAATAGCATTGCAGATTTTACAGGTATACGAATTTACCGATCTTTATAGAGAGGAACATTGAGAAATTATTTACATAAAAGTGAAATCTAACATAGAGCATTCTTACAGAACCGATTTCCTATTCCGAGATTTTAAACATTGCACCACCCGCATATTCAAGCTTACAAGATTTGGTATTCCAAGCGGTCACCTATCTAGGTACTGACCAGGCTCGACGTTGCTTAACTTCAGTGATCCTACGTTAACCGGTGATATTGCAGTAAGTCTCGTGTAACAGAGAGTTTAAAAAGAAATGTGTGTGTGTGTGTGTGTGTATGTTTGAGTAAGAGCTATTGCAAAAGGGTGCTGACAAGTTCTCACTCTAACCAAGAATGATCAATTTACTTAACCTACCCCATAAAAAATGGTAGGTCTGGCACAAGGTCACAATTAACGGGAAACCTCGCTCGCGTACACGTGAAGGATATCAGAAATTGAGCAGTTCTCTTAACATTTCCCCTTTGGGAAAACCCGGGCATCAGAGATTCACCTTGCTTTAACTGCAGTGGCGAAGTTGAATTTTGGGCGTTTAAATAGCCCAACCCTGAATGAATTTCCCCACCATCAAAAAAAAAAAAAAGTTTGGCCAGATTTTACAAGAGTTTGGATCTTAAACATTTCTGCATTCCTTCGGTTCTACAAAATAGCCATCGATGTCACGAGTAAGATTTATAAATCTAATACGTAATTGGGATAGTTAAAGATGCATTCCAAAAGCTAAGCAAAGTATTAATAGAAAATCTCCGTTCGAAACGAAGTAAAGAGTACCGACCTCTTACGTGATATCAGTCCTACTGTATAGCAGTGAATGCTGAACAATTTCCTCAAATATGAAAAAGAAAATTGAAGCGACAGAAATGTGATCCTACAGAAAGATGCTGAGGATGCTATGGTGTGAACATGTGAACAACGACGAGATTTTAGAGAGAATCGAGACCAAAAGGAAATTTATATTTAACATCAGGAAGAGGCAGATGAAATTTCTCGGGTGCATAAAGAGGAAAGAGAGCTTGGAAACTTAATTACTCACAGGGCGGATTGAAGGCAAGAGGGACAAAGGAAAACAACGCATAACATACTGGACGAGCTGGAGTAAATGGATGGCGGAACAGGGTTTAAGAGAAATAACGAAAAGGCAGAATATATTTAGATCTGCAAGTGACAAGAAATTGTGGCGAGCCATAATCGCGTATGTCTTGAGGGAACACGACCTATAAAAAGAGACGTCAAAATCGTAAATTCTAATGACTACAAAATTTCTAGAATATAGCTGGTCACATACTTTAGCTTATTTTTTAAAAAAATATTTTTTCTTGGATGCGTTCGTTTCTTTTCTTGGTTACATTTTCTATGTGTCGCGACCTTTTAGGACATGGATGATCATGGTTTACCAAAACATTCTATCTCTTGTAGCCCTTAGCAATTCTTCTCCCTTAGCTAAGGCTCGCACCTCGCTGATCCACCATCCATTCACATCATCAGGTAAGTGGCTCGCTGCTTTCCCTATCTCTCTTACTCTCACCTTGTGAGGGTTAAGTTTTCCGAGTCCCCCCCCCCGCTCATCATGTGTCCAGAGAAATTCAGCTGTTTTTTCTTGATTCCGACTAAAAGTGTATTTTTACAGACATTGTCTTTAAGACTTCGTGAAAATAGTCCAAAAGTATGTTGATTAAGAAAGTTTTCAGTTAAACTCTAAGCCAAGGGTTCTTAACCGGATGTATCCATAACCCTTAGGGGTATGGGAACCAAATGCTGGGGGTATGGGACTAAAAGTAAAAGTCTGTTTTATGTCGTCGAGATACTAAAAAAGCTTGCACATTTATGTTCTCTTCCTTTTTCTTGTGTAATAAAACTGAATTATAACTTTATTTTGATTTCAGTAAACAAATATAATCAAGTTATCAATGCTTATGGGTTTTTTTTTTCATGTTCTGTTCCTAGCAATCCATATCTAAAGTACAGTAAATTCAAGCGATTGAAATATTTGGAAGACATAATGGCAAATAATAGGATTGGTGATAATTATTTCGACAATCAAGTGAAAGGAGTATGGGACCATATTGGACAATAAATTGGGGGTCTGGAATCATCAAAAGGTTAAGAATCCCTACTCTAGGCCATCTTCAAGGAAATTTTCTTTGTTAAACTTCTATAATAAATGGTTCACAAAACCTATTGTTGCATTATAAAAGTAGCTGACAGTAGACAAATTTTCCGAATACAGCCAGTACATTGTGACCATGTTCATAATTTATGCTATGGTTTGGTTTCTTGTTTTAAAATAATGAGAACTTCCATTACTTTTAAACGATATTTGCAGTTGGATGTATGTAATATATTCATTTACAAGACAAGTATATTGCATATCAAATTCCGTGCTGGTTAAATTGTATCTATACTGAATTCAGGTCAGAGAGATGTAGCGTCAGCCATATTGACAAACGGGTGGTGATGAGGTCAATGTAATTATTTATGGGTTTGTTTTCATCGGTTATATTTTTTCTTGAATGCGTGTGTTCACCAAAACATGTAGTAAAGAAGAATTGCTGCTCAAATTCATAACCATATATACGCTGTTGATCCTTCGAAAAACTGAAAAAGCTCAAGCCGGTCATATGTACTTTATGCATATACCAGCAAATAGTTTCTGAATCCTTTCGAGAGCTGTTACTTCATATAGTACCGGGTTCAACTAAGGAAGATCCAGGGGTAGATGGCCAAGAAATTCGACGCCTGCGGCCTCCTACCTTTCTGTGATTTGAATCCTTTCGACAATTACGTCTGGCACATCTTTCGACGAAGAGACCAAACAACGGCCGCACAAAACCAAAAATTTTTCTATAGAACACCATCGTGTATATGAATGATGAGGGTCCGATCCGTGCATTTAGGCACTTGCGACGGCACATCGAAAGCATACTCGAAGTTAAGGTCGGTTTTATTGAATAAACAATGCATCTACCCATCCCTGCATACAATGATCCCCTGATCACAGAATTTAGTCATTTCAGCGTCGCATCGAAGCCATCCTCAAAGCTAAATGAGGTCTTCAATAAGCTATACATCCATATTGTAGACGTGATGGCCAACATGACTGATGACCATCTGATTTGAGCATTTAGTCACTTTCGATGGCGAATCGAAGTTGTCCTTGTGGATGAGGCCGGCTTTACTGAATATATATATATATATATTTTCCAATTTAACACGTGTGTAAATTATTTTTAGAAAATGTTTTCAATTACCTACCGCAACTTGTATTCGTAGGCATCTGTATTTAAGCGCATATTAATACACTGAATCGTGTGTATATGTGCGCGAAAAAGTTTATAGATACATGCACGAGAACTCGTTGCAGACATGTGGAACTATTTTCCCCCTTTTTGGTTAAGAATTAAACCACTGGCGATATTTAAATCGTTTTTTTGGCGAAATACATAAAAATAAAAGAGCTAACTTGTAATTCACCGCATTTTATGCTATCTTATTTTATTTTTCATAAAGACATGTTAGTTGAATTCCATTTACCAAGTATAAAAGTTGCTCAGTAATTGTTTGACCCAGTCTACAAATAAATAAATAAATAAATAAATAAAAGGAAATATTTTTCTAAAAAGCAGCAAATAATTTCAAACGTATTTTGCCGTTTAACCTTCCAACTTTTCCAAGCAATTTCTTGTATATATTTTTTCGCTGCCTTTATTTCAAAGTGAAAATTACATCTTTGAATTACTGTTGCGTTCTGTGTTTTCTCTGGGTCCCCATGTTACTACATAAAGCGATGTTAACGAAAAGAACGATTTCTTTTGCTTATTCGTTTTTTTTTGTTAAAAGAGAGGGACAGACGTGGCAGCGTGGATTGTAAGAGGCAGCGGGAGGAATGACATCACGGGAATGCATGTCGCACGTTAACTTGGCGTCCCTCTATGCTTAGTCGGTCTCTCGAACCTGGGTGCGGGGAGCGTATTGACGCTTCAAAATTCTTGTTACCTTCTGTTGAATTCGTGCCGTTTTAGACATATATCCCAAACCTAGATAAAAAGCAATCCATCACTGTTTGAATAACATACCCACGGGGCATTCTGGCCAATCGCTGATAATTTCTTGACCTTGGCATATTCTAACAGATATGCATTATTTTAAAAAAACAATGTGTATGAGGAAAACAAAAAAAAAAAAAAAGAAAAAATAGAAGCAAAACACATTAATAAAGAAGTTACCAATTTTGAAATTTGGAAACGAAAAATGTGGTGCCATCTTTCTTTACCAGGAATCACAATATCGGAACACTACCTATTTACCAAAAAATCTCTTCCGAAAAAGAAAAAAGTGTGTTCCCTTAGCTGGCATAGTTCTATGATTTTTGTTTTTTTTAAAGATAAAATATTCCAGGAGGGTGAAATGAAAAGGTTGACTGGAAGATAGAAGAAAGCTTGGAAACAAAACTATTTATAATAAATACTTCTACGCGCCATGTCCCTTCAATACGATGGCGATCACGGCTCTCCGCAATTTCCTGTTCTCTGTAGCTCAGAAAAATTTGCCTTTTGGTATCACTCTTGATGACTGTCCTGCTAACAATTTACACAAGCTCTTTATGGAGGTTATGCACTGTATTTCTCTGTCCCTATTGCTTTTAATATGCCCTGTGAGTTCCCAAATTTCCAAACTCTCTTTCCTATATATATATATATATATATATATATATATTTAAATTTAACGTATAGAAATTATTTATAAAAATTGTTTCCAATTAACTGTCGCACCTTATCTTTGTGTATATACGTATATGAGTGCGTATTAATAACCTGAATCATGTGTATATGTGCGTGAGAAAGAAAGTGAAAGTTTACAGGTGTATACATAGGAATTCGTTACAGACAGGTGCTGTTAAAATTTCAGCTGTCTCTTTCCTGTTAAGTTATAAGAATACTTTTTGTTTCCATTTTCTCTAAAACTTCGTCGTTGCACACATGTTCAGTCCATGGTATTCTCAGCATCCTTCTGCAGAGCCACATCTCTGTTGCTTCATGCATTTTCTTCATCTGCCAGCAGATTTTACATAATTCACTATCACATGGGTGGAGCGATATGGCACAACAGTTTAATCTTTTTTTTTTTTTTATTTAAGCGAATAAACTTATTGGACAGGTAAATACCTCATCGTGAACGTCCACCTCAACATGAACGTCGAACCTGTCTGCGGAATCCACGTGATCTTCGGATTGTTGTAAATCTTTTGTATGAAAGAGAAACGTTGCAGGTGCCATCGCTTGCTGTGATTTGACATGGGAATATGCAAAATAAATGCGTACGAGACAGTTCACGTTTCAATCAAGCTGATCGCACTCGGCTTTCTTATAGACGCAGGAATAGTATGCCTTGCCACGAATAAAACACAAATTAAATTCGCATAAAAAAAATCAAAAAATCTAGAAAGATTAACAAGATAAAAAATAATAACAATGGACAGTGCAAATTTAGAATTACATGACATTTAAGTAAATTACGTTTTAAAATAGCCACCCAAATTGCGTCTATCGCACACCTAGTAATCATCATTAAGCCACACTCTTTCCCCACACATTTTTTTTTTGTATTTTTTATTTGTTATTCAAAAATCAGCGCTTGCATGTTTGACTCGATAGGTAGAGATGAGAATTGTTTGCCTGGAGGGCTGCATGATGGATTGTATTTCAAATACGTGGCTGGTTACTACATGGAATATATTAGAAGAATGGACCTCCCCTTCTTCTATTCAGAACGTGGGCGATCATGGCTCTCCATAATGTCCTGTCCTTTGTAGCTCTTTTTGAAAGATTGTCTTTTTACTATCTCTCCTAGTTCTTGTTCTATCTACCATTAAAAAAAAACTCATTAGGTCGGCTATCTCCGTTCTTTCCTCTGCACTTTTTGCTTACAGAGTCTTTTTGCAATTGTAAAGTCAGCGATAAAAATTACTCACGTGATCATCCTGATATGACTCAGTGGTATGACAAGTGGAATACAAACTGCGGTTTTACTTATGAAATGGTTTTGGTTTCAAACGGCAGAATTCATTTTGTTTAGCAGTCAAACTACAATGCTCAAAAAACGTAGGAATATATTTATAATATGCATATAGAATTAAGACCGAGGCCAAAAAACCATTGCGCACGTGTGTGAGTAAGTGTGAGAGAGTGAGAGAAAGTGAGAGAGAGAGAAAGTGAGAAAGTGAGTGAGAGAGAGTGAGAGTGAGAATGAGAGAAAGTGAGAGAGAGAGTGAGAATGAGAGAAAGTGAGAGAGAGAGTGAGAATGAGAGAAAGTGAGAAAGTGAGAGAATGAGAGAAATTGAGAAAGTGAGTGAGAGAGAAATTGAGAAAGTGAGTGAGAGAGAAATTGAGAAAGTGAGTGAGAGAGAAATTGAGAAAGTGAGTGAGAGAGAGTGAGAGTGAGAGAAAATGAGAAAGTGAGAGAGAGTGAGAAAGAGAGAGAGATGAAAAAGAGAGAGATAGAGGGGGAGAGAAAAAGAGTGATAGAAAGAAAGTTCAGTGTGTAGTATGTGATTCACGCTAGAAAATAAAGAGGATCTGAATCGAATTTAATACCAAATAAGGACCCTTCGTCTAAGAGAAGTTGATCTGGAGTCTTCCTAATATCTATCCAATCGAGATAGTTACATTCACGTATACAATTATTCTTGTCTCTTCTCTTAGGTATGGTTTAAATGGTAGGATATGTTTATGGTGAAAATCATTGTTATTCCCCAAACCATTGTTAATGTAACAGCCACTCGCAAAAGAAAGAGGAAAAAAAAGAGTCATTCTTACAATCCGAAATGAGTTTCGGTTTTAAATAACCCTTAAACTGTTGATAAGCTATAAAACAAATCAGTCCATCAAACAAACAAACCCTATATATATACTAGACTCCATCTAAGATATACCAAAATAAAATTTGTATTCAATGTTACACTGTAGCATTAGAGGAGCCGGTGCAACAGAGGGTTCTGGAAAGTAACCTTATAGCCACCAGGTGCAGATTCGTCCCACGCAGAATGCCAGTGGCTTTCTCCGATATGTTAACAGGTGGTCGAACCAGCTGTATTTGTGATGTGTACACGTAGATATATAAACACCCAACCTGAGAGAGAAAAATATTTTTTAAGCCCATGCAAGAAGTTTATCCACGTACAGAAAAAATCCCAAACCACACACACTTAGGTCGATATAACTTTACGTTTGAAATATTTAGTATCTTTGTCTTATTAGCCTTTAGAAACCTAACATGGAAAGATTGCTGACAAACTGACAAATAATTCAAGCATAAATGGAGCCAATATGGATTTCAGTGTCGTCTGCATGACTTTGTTTAGCAGGTTTGGTTTGGTTTGTTTTACGGCATATCAACCTCATTGGGTTATCTAATGCCGACAAAATTTTTATTGCTGGTAATTTTTTTTTTTTTTTTTTTTGTCAAAAATCTATTTCTGGTAAAAAATTTTTCCTTCAAAAATATATTGCTGGTAATAAGTTTTTTTCTTTTTTCAAAAAGATATTGTTGGTAATATTTTTAAATGTATTGCTGGTAATATTTTTTCTTCAAAAATTTATTGCTGTTAATAATTTTTTACAAAGTATTTCAGATATTAAAACCTATTTTTACACTTTCATAGTGTTTTTATCCCAGTTTCGGGGTTAACTATTTGCCCATAGCTGGGACCCTAACAGGTGTTACTACCCCGCGTCAGGGTCGACCTGGGAACACCAGCAATTAAGAGGTGGTTCCACGCTCTTCAAAACTCCCTGATCAGAGGCCTTGCTGCTGGACGTAGTTTATCATCTTACCCAGGACGCGGATGTAGTTTATCGTCATACCCAGGACGCTTGCTTAGCAGGGAAAGAATTATTAATTTTGACAGATTATCGGTATATTTTTTACTATTTTCGAGCTAGGGTTGCTATTCTATTCAAAGTGGTTCACTGCCAATTGATCTGGTATCTGTCGAGTGGAGAGACAGACCAAAAATAGACGAAAAGAATCCTCGAAAAACAGAAGTTCTGGTTTCTGGAGATCCATTTCCTGGACAGTAACTCCCCACTGCTCTAAATGTGCAGGCTCAATAGACACGCTGCGTCACATGCATCAAAAGGCTAATGAAGTGTTTGCCTTATGACCATTCTACACTAGAAATGACTGCGTGTTCGGGGGTCTCTTCATTAGAACTGGCCGCGTGCGCAGAGGTCTACGGTAGATCTGACTAGGTGTGCGGAGGTTTCTACAGAAATAACCCCGTTTTAGAAAGTCTCTACATTAGAATATAGTGTGTATCAGATAAAAGAACTGCCGATGTTTTCTGGTTGAGAGACACAAATTCCTGCACTAACAAATACCGGTTGTTCATAAATTATCTCTACAAATTCCACTGTTTATTGTATCTATCTTATTACTATATAAACCTCTGTGAACTTTGTATCTTGTGTGATCGCCAGAAGTCATATATATAGAGAGTGTGAAAAAGAAAGATATAAACAAGTCATATATAGTGTGTTGGGAAAAGAAATATGTAAATTTATTATCGTGTAGTAGGTGGACGATGGAGCCGATTTTCTTACGAGATGTGTATAAAACACACGGAATCCGGCCTCAAACAGGATACGCACAGCTGTCATCAAGGCCCACGCCACTCTCGCTTGTGAACTTCACGACATCATGCTAAAAGAGACCGCTGCAGACTACGGCAACACCGTCTACAGTAAAAAAACAAATTCTATCTCTTGTATCCTCTTTACTATGAACCACGCACACACGTGTTGACTTTTTACCACAAACATACATAACAAAATTTCATTGTTTCTCACATACGTACACAAAGAGAATTTATATTTTATTTCAGAATTTTATTAGCGCAAACAAAAAAGCATTACTTTCCAGTCTATGACCAATTGTTTGTATTCTTGTCGTTATATTAAATTAATGTTCATTTGTCGTAACTATGTTGTCTTTTCTACTGAATTTTATTCTTTCAATGAAAATTGTTAGATTATTCTAAACGGCCGAATTACGCGCAGACCCACAACAATATTTTATGCTATTGTATCGAATCCCAAACACTTTGAATTTTGACATTCCAAGCTCTTATTGTTCAACTTTCTTCTAACAGACAATTTTTTTAATGTTGAAAACAACTTCCTTAACTGCAAATAAATGTATTTTTAAAATATCTCTACTTTCACAAGCTCTTTATGAAACTAAATGTAAACAGTAACACAACAAAGTTGATCCAACGGGTCAGAGGTGGTGTAGTTAGAGTTAAAATCCACCAGTACACCTTTTTCGCGTTTTAAAGAATTATTATTAAAATTTTAATTCATATATAGTTTGTTCTTTTTTTTTAATTTATTTTCGTGTGTCTTTTCAGAAAGATGTTAAAATTGCTTATTATTGATTCCTGATTTTAATGAAAATGACAACATCGAAAAGAAAGCGTGATGTCTATCTGGGTTCATAACGACCAAATGGGGTCACTTAGTATGAAAAAGAACCGCCAAATCGTGTAGCATGCGTGCTTGGCACAAGACGTTTGTAGAAACGGAAAGTGTATTGCAGAAAAACAGAAATTAAGCATTATCTAGATGTGTTGCATTCAACCAAAGGAGCCCATCATATTCTGATGTTTAAATAAAACTTTACTTACATGCGTTATTCAATAAATCCTGCAGAGTTATCTTCATTTTTCACGAATTTTCTAAACTGTACAGATAATTTATAGACATCCTGTATAAGAAATAAAAAAAATAAAAGTATTAGACAATAAGCTTAGAAAATGTAGTATCCATTTAACGCATTATTATTATTATTATTATTATTATTATTAATCATAATATTTTTATTATCCTTTCCATTTTGAATTTTAAAACAAAAATGTTGATGACTTTGAGATGGTTATAATTGTTATGTAATATTTACAAAATAATTACTAAAGCGAAAGCGTTATGTCTCTTTATATTTGCCAAGGAGATTTAGTATAATAAAAGTTTTGAATACGAAAGTTTTAGTGATTGGTCCAAGCTCAGATCAGTGCAACCGAGACATCCAGTTATAAGAGGCGACGTGATGTTGACCTCATGTCACCCGATGTCATCAAAGAGCAGAGAATGCCGTTTCGAGCCAAACTAAGCTATTTCTAGCAAAGTGAAGTGGGATATGGTATTTGCTAGGAAGTATGAAAATGTGTTTTGACCCCCACATATGCTAGGACGGATAAGATGTAATTCAACCTCCTAGCCCACAGGAGGTCGTTGGAGTTAAAGATAGTTTGTGGCCTTTCTGATCTGTATTTCAACAAATATAATTGCATTCTTTGATGTAAATTGGTATGGTGGGTAACTTGCACTGGAAAAGATAAAAGAGGAGGTGGTATCGACCTTTAAAGTCATTGGAGTTACCAGAGGTCAATTTTAGATTAAAATAGGTTATTTTGTTTCAGTTAAACGGAAGTACTTAAAAAAGGTTTATTTTTTCTATTTTGATTGTAAATTATTTTTTCATACTGAAAAAAAAGTAAAAAAAAAAAAAATAAAATAAAATAAAAAAAACGTTCAGGACAAAAACGGGATATTTTAAGCGGTTTAAATGTAAAATAAATAGAAATCAAATGAATAGATTATTTTTCTTCGTCTTCTTCTATGTACTGTAACCGTACAGGACGTCGGCGATCATGGCTCTCCACAATTTTCTGTCTTTTGTAGCTCTTAAATCTTTTGTTTTCGCTATCTCTTCTAATCCTTATTCTGCCAACAAATTATCAGTTCGTTAGGTAAGTTATTCCTTTTTGTTCCTCTTCTCCCTTAACTTCAATAATTCCTGTGAGTAGCCAATTTTCCGAGTCCTCTTTCCTCATTATGTGCCATAGAAATGTCAACTGTCTCTTTCTGATGTTAAATATGTATCCTTTTTGTTTCCATTTTCTCTCAAAGTCACTACTCATATGTTCAGTCAACGGTATTCTCATCATCCTTCTGTAGATCCAATTTTCTGTTGCCTCAAGTCTCTTCTTCATCTTTGATTGTCCAGCAATCAATGTCATATAGGAAGACTGATATGACATGACACTTCAGTACACTTTTCCTTGTTTCTAACAAGATTTAATAGCACAAAGCCACGAGAACTACTAGTGGCTCTATGAGCAAAGAATTCTTGCTCTAAAGAATAGTTGTATCAAAGAAAAAAAAGTGAAAACAATGACACCAAATTACAGGAAGGGTCCTTACTGTACAAACCAAAATGGCACAATTCTAAGCACTTTGGAGGCTGATCGGAATTTGAATTATTCTTTTTATTCTCTTGTTCTTTAATTTTTTTTATACTCTTTTTCAACCATTCCAAGGCTCAAGAGCTATTCACATACGAAGAAATTTGAAAAGAAATAAATGTCTAATGTTTGACCATGCGATCTAATTTTGGGAAGTGTGTTAAACCGAAAAAATATCAGTACTCATTCTTATCCGTAAAATAGAAATATGTAATGTTAGAAATAGTGCGTAGCAATCTAGAACAAGGATTACGGATGCAGCAGAATAAACCATAACTTATAATAGAAGCAAACCGCCTGTATACAGATATAAAATTATTTCAGTACATAGAGTAATATAGAAAGGAGCATAAGACAAGGTTGTATCTTGTCACCGGACTTATTGCATCACTAAAAGTTTGATGATCCGGAGAGAGAAGTCCTACGAGAATTTTTTTTATTGGTGGTTACAATCTTAAACGACGTAAGATATGCAGATGACACGGTGTTGATAGCAGATGCAAAAAGGAAGCTACAGGAACTCGTACAGAAGCTAGTGAAGGAAAGCGAGGAGAAAAAAAAAGCATCAATTGCAAGAAGACTGAATGTATGGTTGTCAGCTAAAGGAGGAACCCAAGATGCGAACAAAGATTTGGAGATGCCAAAATCCAGTAAGTACGAAAATTTAAATATTTAGAAAGTGTCTTAATAGAGAATGGAAGATGTGACACCGAAATCCCAAAATGCAGGGAATGGGAAAAAAATAATTCCAAAAGCTACACAAAGTATTTTCAAAGAGAAACAAAAAAAAAAAAAGAAAAGAAAAAGTGATATGTAATGTCGGTCCTCTTATATGACAGTCAATGTTGGATAACCTTCTCAGACTGTAGGCCAGAGATATGTGGTTCTACAGAAGGACCGTGTAAGCCTTAAGAATAAATGACAATAAAAAGAACAATTATAATCAGAATCAAAAAGACCGAGCTGAAATTTCTTAGCGACATAATGCGAAAAGAGTGCTTGGCAAATGTGACACTTACAGGTCATATTGAAGGCAAGCAATGAATAGCATACCTAACAGGGATTAAGAGAAGTGGCAAAAAGACAACCCTTACTAAGTGCAACATGAACAGGAAATTATGGAGAACCAATATCTTCTACGTCCTAGAAGATACAGTGACAGAAGTTACATAATACTATACGACTAAGCTAACCGTTGGAAATATTAAAATGTCTTATTTCGAAATTCTGTTTAGCAAGCTTAGTTAATAACACATTAGAGTTAAAAACTCTTCAGTTCTATATTCTTCATTCTGTAGACATTTGTCCTTTTGTCTCCTCTAAATTCGATAAATTAGCATTTGTAATTGTTGGTCTACCCCTCCATCGTGCAGTAGGTAACGTTTTTTTATCCACCATTACGTCTGTACTGAGTAATCATTACACATCTGTTTGAGATTGTGGCACTATGCCAGATCAGTCAAAACTAGAGAAACTATTATACGTCGTAAATCACAATCTTATCTTCAATTACATTACTCCTCTAGTGACTTCTATTCTGATTCAATGGCTTACACTTGTGATCTTATCTTACGATAATTCTCATCATGGCATTTTACATCTGTTGCAGGAAAACTGAAATTCTGTGTGTGGCATTTTAAACAAAGATTACTGAGTTGAAGCAATGGATGTTAGAAAATAAGATCTGAGAGCTTAGATGTGCCTCTTCTTAGAGTAGAACAAACTATTCTCGAAGCCTATTCCTGCTGTAGCAACTGGATGACAACACTAACTGCACGGCCTTGCGTTTGACTAAGACAAATCTATGAAAAACCCTAAGACTGGCCTTTTCTCGGATTATTTGTTAAAATCTCATCTAAAAGACCGTTTCCAGATGATAGTAATTGTTTATATAAATAGTATTGGC